CGCGTACTCGTTGTATTCTCACCATATACTCACTTCAAAGCTCCCCGTATTTGCGTATGTGATAGGGATGAGGGCAGGGAAGGAGAGGCTGCCGGGCAGCGTACATAAACTGAAAGATCTTATTATTTCTGCTTCTAGATAGAAGTGTTCGGCTTGACTTGCACGCAGTAATCATGAGTGATGATTTTCCTTGCAGGCGAAGGAAAATCAGCTCGAAAGAAAGAAAATGGGAAGAATCGTTTTCAAATCCGGATCAAACAGTAATCATGTGGCCAGAGCAGGCAGCAGAACATATAGATATTTTAACAACACTTTACAAATCCCAACATGACGATCAATTTGATGATAAGGTCGGCTTTTTCTTGGTTTCTTTCATTTTCGAATTCTGTTAATGATCAATACTTGTGAGTTTATAGGAGTGGACCATTGTTGTGGAAGAGGTAACTTCTAAAGGAAGAAGGAGACCTATAGCTGCTGTTCCGCTCAACATTCGCCTTTTCATTATGGATTTTGCTGATCAGAAGTCTGAGCTTAAATTGAAGCTCCGACCGCTTATTCCTCAATTAAAGCAATGCAATTTAATGCTACTACTTTCAAGTCAACTGCTCAAGGAAGGATTGTGAGTTGATGTTTTCTAACAAAAATATGTATTTGACATTTTTCATGATTGCAGTCGAGATTTATGCAACCTTTCCTTTTGTTTTACTCATTATTGTAAGATTTGTTTATTCACCACGTGACAATGGCATAAGACTAGGATACTTCGTGCCTTCATTGCTAATGTGACCGCTATTTTTGGCTTTCTTTCTAGCAATTTCTAAGGAATTTCTTTTTAGCAAAGATGATGTCAGTCTTGCCTCAACTGTTTCCCATAATGGACGGGATTCGAGGGAGCAAAGCGTATGCGATGCCCTCAATGCCTCTGAGGAACAAGTCGATCATGGTAATTTTTCAGCGTGCACGCTTTCATTATCTGCTTTATGAGTCTGCTTTCTTGGTGAATACCTTCGAATCGATTTTATACCAATTCTCACCAGAGCTGAACTTCACACTAGGAGCTGTCTCTTCTCTCTTTCCCTCTCCTTCCGCAAAGTGCTTTAATGGCGTGCTTATCTCTGCGTGAAGACGTAAATATGGATTTACTGCGTGCAATTATCTCTCCCGTTCGCTCATTTAATTGGGACGTGAGCTTTGAACTACTGTGCAAATGGCTCAAGGAATGCACAGAATGTTAAGAATCGTGAATATCCATGAAGCAAGATAAAGTTCGGGTAAATAGTAAAGAGTAATTTTTGTGCTTGAACGAATTTTAATTGATGGCCTACAATGCGTAGAGCACGAGTAATTGCTGGAGGATAGAATTACCTGTGTGAGCGCTGTGCAAGAGAAATAGCCATCTGTTTATATAGTGAATGATCTCAACTTTTTTGATGAGTAGAGGCTAATGTGGCAATGATTTCAACCAGTAGTGTAATGTAATTATGTTTCTGGCACCAAGTGATAATTTCCAACTAATGTTCTCACGGTGAAGCGGGCCATTTCGGCCTCACGTATTTATGCGACGTCGGTGGAGGCTTTTATCGTAATGATGTAGAGACGTCCATCCATCTGCTGCCCGTATGGCGTTCCAGAAATATGGAATGAGTCATGAATTGATGTGAGAAAACTATGTGAAATAGAATTGGATTCGTAAAGTTCACTTTTGTTTCACCTGTTAAATGGACCGTGTTCGCATCTTTTCGTAAATGCAATAAGTTATTATGGAGATTTAACCGCTGCGTGCTTGCTATGAAACTTTTTGCATCTCGATGAAAGTAACTGAATCTTACGATTCATGAATTAGAATTATCTTTTGTTCGTTTTTATTCTAGTTAGTAGCACAGGTTCTCTACTAGCCTGACTTTAGTTGAAGGAATGTCGGAGTGGAATTTTCCTAGTGCACCTAGATCTCTTATTTCGTGACCGCTGAAAATGTGTGCAAACAATCACTTTTCAATCTAATCATGTCTCAATCTGTCTCAATTCTCTCTTCTCTGAAGCAGTTGCGGCTTCTTAGGGCGAGCAGTCATTGTTGAGATGACATATGTGTTGCGTCGTGTTGTATGCGCACATAATGTGTTACCCGATATTACACAAGCCAATCAGGGCGGTTATCTAGCATGCGTTTGAACTGGGCCAACACAAGAGGGACCAGGACATCTGAAGTTAACGTTTCAGAAGAATTTATTTGGTGAGAGGAACGTAGGGGAAGTCGATAAAATGCGTTCCGTAATATAATAATGAAGAGGAGGATTGCTTTCACTGTTCCTGTTCTGTTCCAGGGAAAGGAAGTTGGATGTTGCATGCGGGAACCATGATTAGTTTCGCTTTGAAAGTTCCTCGGTGAGGGCGGAGAGGTAATTGCATCAGTCCAGGCAATATTGCTCAATTCAACGAAGTTGGCGCGGGCTATCGGCTTCAAATTAAATATTTGCACCTTCCGAACTTTTCAGAACTCATAGAGGGAACGACTAGGGCTAGACTTTTATTTTTAACTGCCTTTCTAGTATACCCACTTAAGAGGAACGCTCTAACAGCTATGAAAAATCATCATAAGAGAGTGATGTTCCGTGAAATTTCGTAACGCTTCCTTCTCACTGAACTGCTTTTTGGCTCCTCTCCGAACCTAATTATTCACATTTTCTATCCCTTGGGTCAAAGATGCAACCGAATTTGTTCAGGCGATGCTAAAAAAGAACTGGCTCTCGTTGTAAATACAATTCAAAGCCAGTCATGGTCTTCGGACACAAAGAAGGTCCCGAAGACAGCGCCTATTGCTGTAGAAGAGGCGGAACAGTCTGACAATCGTAGTACTCCCGGTATACAACAACAAGCCGCTGGCTCGAAGACTGATTCATTCACTGGTGAAGTGAACGTTGTTCAGCCACAACGACAAGGTAGGGGTATTATATGTTTTCGTGCAGTTTGTTCTGCTTTAGTTGATTTTTTCATTCACTCTATTATAATGTTTCAAGAGTCCGAATCATCCGCTGGCCACGATACTGCTGGAGGAGTTCGGCCGCATTGGCGGGTGTCAAGTGAAGAGAAAGCGTCAAAAGAACGTGAAACCTCTTCCACAAAGCCTACATTGTCTTTCTTCGAGGTAAGCATTGTTAGAGAACTTTGCAAACAGTTGTCATTAAGGCTGTTTCTAGGTTGACGAGAATTCGCATCCTGTGCAGGTGACACCTCCTCAGCTTATCATTGGCCAGACTCCGTCACCGAAGACCATCGGGTTTGTTATCTATGATTTTTACTGTTTGACAATTATCTAATTCTGTTGCAGTAGATCCCATTCTCCGCGAGTACCATCTCGCGAGCGCGCTCCTGAGCGAGTGGAGGGAGAAGCTCTGTTAGCCTGGGCTCAGCGAGTTACGAGCGGGTATCATGGAGTGAAAGTTAACGATTTTACGTGAGTCATCTAAAGCTTAGACCACAGGAATTAAACTAAATCGAAAATGCTTCCAGAAAGTCGTGGCGAAGTGGGTTGGCTCTAAATGCGCTGCTTCACTCTTACAGGCCAGATTTGGCAGGAGACTATGATGCTTTAGACTTCTCTGAAACAATGAATGGCAGAAAAACGAATGTGAAAAAGGTTGGTGTTGTATGAAATACTTTCTTGCCTCGATTCATAGTTAGAATCCCTATTTTTCAATTGTTATCTTCACTATGCTGTGTATTGTATATTTTTTTTATCTATTTTTTTCATTTGTGTAATATATTTCCTCATCATTTATTTCTTCGTTTATTTCATTTTATTATGTGTGATTATATTTTTGTCGCTTCGCTCATACCACACCTGTGGGTTTATACTCACTCAATTCTGTTAGAGTTGTGCTTTCTCAGGCTTTAGTTGTGGCAAGAGCGAATGGGTAATGACTTACCGATGAAAACGAATCCTCAACTGACAGCAAATCATTTAGATTCTCTTGACGGTGGATTTTTACATTTCGTACTATTTATGCCATCATAAATTGCCACACAATTTCTACATATAAATGAATTACTTCGTTTTATCATTCAAAGATAGCTGGTATTCAATTGCAGGATTTCATATGACTGGATAGTTGTAGCTTTGATATATTTGGATGGCTTTGTGAAAACGCAAGGTGTGGCATTGAAGGGGACGTAAATTCAGTTGGTTCGGCGCAATGGAGCGTGCAGTTGAAAGTGGCGGCTATCTAGCAAATCACCCTTGCCAGAATTTATGGACGTTAAGAGATTAAGTCCAAGAAAGCTGCAAGAAGATATAAAATGCAGCTATCTATTAAGAAGTTATTGCCATCTCAATAATGACTAGTAAAATGTGATCAATTCGAAACTACTATCTCTCTGCCATCTATGTCCATGGTCAACTGGGAATTGACGTGTGGGTTTCAGAATCGGAATCCAGAGTGATTAATGTTGTTTTAACCCGAAAGTACGCTTATGTTTAGTTCTGGCAAGACAATTTGTCTCTTATAATAGATGACATTCGCAATCATTCTCGGAAGCTGCTGTTAGGCTTTGTCTTCGTGCAAATTGCAGTCAGGATTAGGTATGGCATTTGAGCACCCTCATTTCCTGTCCTCTTTCTATGTCGAGTTGGAGGGGTGTCGAGTTGGGAGGGTCTATGTCGAGTTGGGAGGGGGTTATAAATGATAAAATTTCCTATCTTTCTTGGAATTTTCTAAAAGCGCCTTCTAGGAACTCCTTGGAAGCCTCTTCAAGCTGAATTTCGTATGATCTCTGTCTTAATTTTTGGGCACGTTACTTAAATGCAGTGTTGTAGCCTTCGTCGGGTGCTAGAGGGCACGACTGACTTGCCAACTCCAATATCATCATCAGATCATAGAATTTCGCAGCTCTATCATATATCAGAGGCGGAGAAAAAGGTAGTTGCTCTTTTGTTCATCCCACTACTTCGAAGCAGTTCGTGTTTTCAGGTTATTGACGAAATCAATAAAATCAAAGAACAGCGCGAAGCAGACTCAGCTGTTGACTATAGCAACGTTCAGGTACGTGTATTATGTGGTACTGAAGATCGTCATATTCCATAAAAGTATTTTACGCTGGGATGTTCAGGATCATGGTGGTCAGTATGATGGACGGTCTAGGGTCCCAGCAACTGGGAAACAGGTAAATAGGAATTTCCTTCGCTTGTATCTGTTTTGTACTTTACTGTTCCCCTATGAGTTTATCATTCTATAGATATGTAATAGATTGAGCAATAGGTTATTTGCTCAGGTTGATTCATCAGTAGCCGATCAGAGCAGTGATCAGTGGTCTGACGATCAGGGAGATGCCCTGGAAAGAGATGTGTGAGTTTTAAGGAAATCCAGTTTTTGCTTACATTCTACATCACAGCAATATCAAATACAAAAGTGGATACCTTATAGCTCTTTCCGTGACCACGATGTGTCTGTTACCATGGTCACTCCAGCTCTTCCAACTTTCCGTTCATCGGTTTGTTCTTTTTGTCATGCCACTATTTTGACTTTTACAAGTGCAAAAGTTTCCAGAGCGTAGTTTGAAAGGTTCATTGGAGTCGACATTTTTTTAAGTACCATTTTTTCTTAATTATAAATAGTGAATTGCTAGGCTAGCACTGGCGATTTTCAAATTATATGAGAGGAAGGACAATCAGGCGTAGTTTGACAAGGTGGAAGAAGGGTAAGAAAGACCACTAGACACATATATAGTATAAGTATAAGTTTATTACGTCTGCAAAAGGCACACGTGGAAAAGAATGAGCATATACAAAGAACAGTGTGCTTATAAACAAAAAACTCAAATACTAAAACAGGTAACTTCGGAATCAGTCTCACAAAACTATGACTCTTGGTTCCTCAGTATTGTGACTATACGATGCTTGAACTGAGCTTGTGACAGAGTAACCGGTATGTTCTTTGCAATGTTTATATAATCACTGCCAGCTCTATACGTGAAGCTTTTGGCACGTAGATTAGTTTTAGGTCGCGTTAAGGAGATTTTCATAGAACCTCCCCTAGTTCTCGAACGTGTCATCTTGAAGACATTGGTAGAACCTGACAAACAAAGACCTTGTATCAGCTTATGAACTAAGCAGAGATCAAAAACTCTGCGCCTAAATTTCAAAGATGTCAGACCCAAAGAGCTATTCCTACTGATTGCATTTGGTATGTTGGAGTACTCAAAACCACCTATTCTTATAAACAATTTGCGAGTGAAACTATTTTGAACCTTTTCAATTGTATATATGTGCTTCTTCTTTGAGGTATTGAATACCGTAGTGCTAGATTCAACCAATGGTCTCACGTAGGATTTGTAGGCATGCAGCAATGCATTCTTATTAGCCGAGGTTAGCCCTTTGAAAATTCGAAATATGCGTAAGTGAGCTGTTCTGACTTTCATTTTAATATGTTCAGAAAAGTCTAGTTTATTATTATAATGAAAACCAAGGTCTCTAACAGATTCAACAACCGAGAGGGGTATTCCCTCGATAGAGTAAGAGTCTATCGATGATGTAGCACCGGTTACTATCATTACATAATTAATAAGAAGATTCGTATAGCATACATAGATGTAGAACCAACTGGAGAGGATTTGAAGATAATAAGGTAGAAAGCGAATCTTGGAATTTCTGTATTAATAGCTGCTAACATGCTCAAAACTATTCGCGGCGGGTCTAAAAACAGCTAGCTGGGTAACAGGACCAACTTGCGCAGCTGTACTCATATTTGGTTCATTACTCATTCCATTCCCTCTAGGTAAAACCCGATTCCTCCAGGCGTTGTTGTTCGATTGCTTGTAGCCACATAGAAATTCTGTTTTTACATTGTATGCACGTTGTCAAAACGTGTAGCGAGCCATTTTGAACCCGTTTGAGATGAAAAACAATGTTTTTAGTCGACCTTGGTCGCCTGTTTTGTACCAAATTCTTTATGACTGATCAGCTTTGATCTTGCTTGTATACTTGTGCCTCGATTGAATCTTGCACCAGTGGGCATATCTATCGTATCTCTGAGTATTGCAGTTCTCCGCCGCTGATCTATCCTATGGATTAGGGGAATACGGGTTGCGTCATTAGGGCCTGCATTTCTAGCATTCAGGCAGCGCGATCTCTCAGAGAAGAGTGCCAATAAGGAGGGTAGCTTCAGGATCACGCGTTCAATTGCGGATCCTATGACGCAACCCTGCTCCCTCAAGCTAAGGATGGACAGCGGCGCGGGCGCCTCTCTGATACGGCCCACGAACTCATCAAGAATCCAAGTGGTCAACAATCTGAAAGTGAGATTTTACGGTGCTAATTGTATTCAACTTTACTGCCGTCACGCTTTGAGGAGGTAATTCCATAATGGGCATATTCCCCTGATTGATAGGGTGGGGGGGGGGTTCGACAAGGGAGTAGAGAGGGGTGCACGGTGGCGAGTAACCGGGCAAGCAGGCCATAAATTTTCCCTTTTTAATAATTTTTTTTTAAAAGTGTGAATTGTTTCAGGGACGTTCTACTAGTCCAACGAAAAAGGAAGAATTACGTAAGAAAGCTCGTCAAATGCTTGAGAATCCATCCGCGGCAGCTTTTTCAACGGGAATTGTAATTTTGTAGCAATATATATTTTTTCTCCGCACAGTTGGCGACAGCTCTCATCAATTTATCTATGCCTTCCCATAATTTTGTTTTTTCTTACAGTCGCAAGACGATGGGAAGCGTAGACAAGAAGCACGGCGACTAATTGAAGAAGCGGTTACGGATGGTGCGACATACATCGTTGGATCCGGTAAGTCATTTCTAATAACTCACGCAGTGTTACTGTTAATGGCAAGTAAAACAGAGTTGTGTTGGACTGGTTTGTTGCCTTTGTCACCAACTTAAACGCTTCGTTTTATTATTTTCTAATCGTTGTGGTTGTGGTTGTGATCTAGTATTGTTGTTCAATTAGCGGAGGCGTCTACATCGTCGTCGAATCTACAGCGGTCTGCCTATCGGTCCAATACGTCAATTAATGGATCGAACTCAGATTTAAGGAAAATTGGTTAGAAGTTTTTTTGTTATCAAACCACTAATGGACTTACTCATCTCATAAGAGTAGAAATAATATCTTAGGGTGACTCCTAGCCTTCTACGAAGGAGTCTCAGTTTTTGTTTCTGGGGATAGCTATAATTCAAAACGTCGGAGAAGTTAGGCCCTTGAATTCACTGAAAACTTGCTTTTGATGAGTTTCCAGGGTGGTCGTTGTATAGCAAGGGTGGTAATCGGTTGAGTGTCATTGTTTTGGCCCTGCTTGTTCCCTTCCATTTTTACTCTTGGAGGTTCTGGCTACACGATGAAGTGGGGGGTTCCGATTACGATTCCTGCAAATAGTTCAGTACTTGGTTTCAACTGCCTTAGTAGGGGATTTCGGCTCACTCCCATTATGTTTAGGTTTTGGGCTCCTTGTTGTAAACAAACACTAATGTTAGCCCTAGCTGTAGTCTACTTACAAGAAAATTTGTCAATCAGATTGAAAGATGTGTTATTAACTCACTATATTTTGTGAACTTATTTTTTGGATGTTGTGCAGTAATTCAGAGTTAGTACGACCAGCCATCTCGATTCACACCTTCAAGAAACGCGATCCTTCTCCGGTTCTCCAGCGGAAACAATGTTAGCATGCATTTGTGTTGTTGTGCCTTATTGCCTTACTGACTGAATCTTTCCCAATTTTTTTGTCCAATATTTCAATGTTTCTAAATTCATTTATTTCTCAACAATTTTTCTGCAGATGACGCCATTCCTGGGCAAGGACGGCCGGCACAAATGGCCAATGATCGTTTGAAGGTAAGATCTTTTTTTTCTCTGGGTTTTCATATGGAGAACCTTCGTATTGTGCTTCATTCTACAGTCATGCTCTTCTGTTTGCCTTCAATAGATAATCAAAGCTCGCTCTTTTTTATCAATTCTTTTTTCTGTTTCACTAATTATGCTTTGATACTAACTCTGTGCTCTCTTGTTTCAATTCTTAAGGTCGCAATTCGCGTTGCGAATTTATCACAGAAATGCTGGGTTAGTGATAAAGCCTTGGCTCCAGGCGGGATTCCACATTTCCTGCGCGGTAACGGAACTACGCATGGGAAGTTTTTTAGGAATACTGAGTCCCATGCTTTGTATTAGATGGAAGTGTCGCTTGTAGTCGAAAATCAGTGCAGAAAGATTG